TTTCACATTGTCAGCCTAGCCAGTTTAGACTACAGTCTCTCACAGATGCTCAGACCAGAGCTGAACCCAAGTTCTCTGCTTGGTGCTGGTGGTTTTTGTTGTCTCTGTCTCCCCTGACTGCAACACACAAAAACTGAAAGCAAGGAGAAAAACAGAAGTCTGACTTTGACTGCGACATTCATGTTTTACACATGGTTTAATTTGTTTTTCTTCAGATCTCATTACCTTTCTCCATTAAAATTTAGTGAGGCTGAAAGAAGACCTGCTTCCTGACAAAATCTGGCAGTAGGTAGTCAGATTATAGAAAGCTGGAGTAGTGTTTCCTCTGTTGTCTATGAAATGGAAGTCCATACCTTGGACATCTCAGTTAACACACCAAGTGATGTGCTCTTGAGGTAGCTACTGGCATATCTGGGGTTACATAAGGTTATCGGATTGCTTTAGGTGGAAAAGATTAAAAATAAGGTCCTGATGGTTGTGCTCATTCAAAATCCTTGGGTATTTTGGGTTTTTTTTGTTATGATGTTGTTACACATTTCATGCTGGCCATCCTCCAGTTTGCTAATTATATTCTGCTTGAATACATTCCCCTGAGTTTCAACTTGGATAAGGTTTTGTTTTCTTTTTCACTTTTCCTCCTGAAACTGTAATAGTGTTGTTTGAAAAGCATTTAATAATAACAGAACTAACTACAATCACTACTTACCAATCTCAGTTGGGACGCCTAGAAATTATTTGCTTTAAGGACAAGGTTTGGATGAGTCAAGTGACCTCAGCCCAGCACAAATTTTGGTTTGAGATTTCTCCAAGTGGAGACATGCTTGGTTCTTTAATTTGGGCTTGGATTTGACTCTAACAGGGCAGAGTCTTTTTCTTCTTAAGGTTACCTGGCATGCTCAGGAGTACCTAATGTTTATATCCCCATAAAAGCATCCTTTTGGCACTATATCAGCAGCATGTTTACAATGCTCCATTTCCTCAGCTCACATACATTAAGCTCCTTTTCAGTATGTTATACATGGCATACCTTCTCTTCCTATCCTTTCCTTCCCTTGTTTTTGGTTTTAAGATGTAATTTTGCATCTTGAAGGCATACATCCTGGTGTTCAGTGTTATCTTCCTATGTAATTTTTAATGGCTTGATTCTCTTTCTCAAACTGATCAAACCCCCTGTATAATCCAGCATGATGTGTGTATGAGAGCTGAGGTCAACACTATAAACTGTAGCTCTGATCCTTCTCAGAGAACACCCCATGCATACCTGAGGCATGGGTGCCAAGTTGCTCAGCAGTCAGAGTTACTTGGGGCTTGTGTTTGCAAGACTGGAGGCTTGTTGAGTGTCTGTGTTGCCTTACAGTGGCACCCCATAGAGCTCCCAGTGAGTTTTGGGCTTGAAGTACAGAGAACAGTTTGCAGAAGCCTGGTGTGAGTAGCAGTCTGGTTTAGAAAGAATTACTGTGAAAAGGATGTGTCAGTGTAAAATTCCATAAAAGACAAGACTTGTATCCTTAGTGACCAAAAATGTCTCATTGATGATCCTTGTCTTGCCTGTCATGTGACAGCTTCTTTGGAGGAATCCAGTCCCTCATATGAGTCACAAATGACTCTGTGACTTAGGCAGCATGGGTTGAGAAGGACCTAGGCATGAAATTTAAGGAAATATGCAAATGTTTTCAGGCTTCAAAAGGAAAAGCAAAGAGAGAAAAGTCCAAACCTCCAGCTACTTCCCTCTTCATGTCTTGTAATTGTTTTCAACTTGGTTTTTCTCAGTGAAGTTGTTTACTTTTTCCTCTAGGACTCATGTTGCGTAACTGCAAATTTCCTTAATGTCTTTGCATAGTAATTTTGTCTCTAATTTATGAATCCAAATAAACCCTGTTTTCTTTCCCATAGTATTAACAAAAATACAAAAATGGACACAGTATCAGTTTCTCATGTATGTGAAGTAATGTGTACAGCCTGACTGCAGCCTCACTGAAAGTTAATCTCACTTTCACACAGGTGTAATTTTACTGCATCCAGTAGTACTCCTGGCATCCTTTACTGTTGCAGAAAAAGACTTGCTAAACTTCAACACAACTATTGATCAGAGTAAGCATTTGCTATAGCTAAACCGCTGGGTTATGACAGAGGAGTAGATCAGAGACTTGGGCTGATGGATGAATAATTCCGTGAGGGCTCGGAAGTCTTCTAAACATGTGTACCTGGGGAGCATCAGCTGGTGTGGTGCCACTGGTCTGAGTGTAGCAAACAGACACCAAAAAGGCAATGCTGGTGTCAGCCTGTTTGGAAATCAGCACTGATCCCAGGCAGTTTTTGTGTCTGTTGTACACCTGCAGTCCCTGCTGGGCTGGCTTGAGTGAGCTGTTAACCTAGGTAGCCCAGTTACCCACGGCTGTAGCACCCAATAGATCAGTGTGGACTTGGGATCTAAGCATGCATGCCCCACTTTTGGCCTCCATGGTCTGTGCTAAACCCAGCTCCAAAAAGAGCTGCATTGATAGCAGTTACCTGATAAAATTTGTATATACAAATAACCGGGGTATGTCTAGACACAAGGTCTACATGCCATCTCAATCAATTCCATTTTCATTTTGGTGCAGGATGAATTATGACAGCAGCAAAACCTAATTTGAACTGCAGCTGAAGAGGGCTAGGGGGAGGTGATATTCTGGTTTACCATACAATCCTCTGGAGAAAAGAGTTCAGATCTGTCTTAGGTTATATAACAGAAATGAGGTTAGCAGATTTGGTCTAATCCCCTGTGGACAGGCCCACCACAGAGCATGGAATAATGTGGATAACTGTCTGTCTGCATGCTTGCTGATGGCTTTGCTACTGCAGCAGCAGAACATTGTTAGGCCAGGATCCCAGATCAGGCACTGAGGCTTGTGCAGCCTGTTTCTAAAGCTGTTCCAAGACCTCTTGGTCTCAGAATTGTCGAGAACATGAAGAGCAGCCTGGTCTCTTAGAATAAACAAAAAGGGCCCAATCCTTTGTCATTTTGTGAATACTATTTTTGCTTTGCTCTGATGTTGCAACTGAGTTGGATAATTAGGCTGATTGGCCTAATTGAGGACTTTGTTTAGAGGGGTGTTCTTGGGGCAACACTAAATACCCTAAGCCGACCCTGCCATATATGTAACCTCCTAACTCATTTTTTCAGTCCAACTGACCAGTCTACCCTTTATGCCACAGCAGACAATTGGCAGTGAATTGGAGCAGTTATAAAAGTTCTTTGTTGTGGATAGCCTGGACCCTGGCTGAAAAAAAGCACATCAACATGCGTTAGTGGCACTTTTCTCAATTCACGAATAGTATCAGCACAGGTCAGAGAAAACGAAGGTTGTCCTAATCCTCACAAATTAATTTAATTTACAAACAAACTGATACATACAGTAGATAAACTGACTGCTGCAACCACTTTTGGGGCAAAACTTCATGGGTGACCAACACATCCTATGGAAGAAACAGGAAATGTCTCCTGCCACTGCAGAAGTGAAGACTCTGTGTGGGCAGGTGTAGCAGCTGGGATCCGGCTGTGACACCACTTAACGTGTGCTGTCACTGCAATGCTGGCTGAGCTCCAGTGACTGCAAGTGGCAAAGGCTGCTAGGGTTGCACATCCCCTGTGGACAGGTAGCACTTGCAACCCCTTTGGTGCCTCTGAACAGTGTGTGGCAAAGCCCAGTTTAGCAGAGGCAGGTTCAGAGGGCACAGTGGCACCTGCTAAATCACTACAATGATTTCCTGCAAGACCTTTATTTTCCTAGCCACATACTGTATTGATCAGGCGGCTTGGTTACTGAAAGAAGGCAGGGTGATGCAGCTGGTAAATCCTGCATGATGTGCTCATGTGGAACACAGTCCGCAGGAAAACTACAAAAAGCTTGAAAAGTAAATGTGTGTTTACCAATTTGTTTTCAGCCTGGATGGTACCAGCGGAAGTTGTGCTTAAATATAGTGGACATAGTTGTAACCTTGTAATGGTGCTGCTGCGCAAAGATTTAATTTTCTAATCTATTTCTGTAAAATGGCTTCAAGCAATAAAGCGTCAAAACCTACTGCTTTGACTTTGCCCATGTCCAGGCCAGAAATTTTGACACCTTAAAAAATATTAAATTTGATGCTTTAAAAAGGGTATTAATTGCAAATGAATTCTTAAGGTAAGATGCCCAGACGTGTGTGATTGTCAGATTACTGTATTGCTACAATGTTGTTTTTGGTTACCTAAAAGCCTGGGCTTTTTCTGCGCTTGTTTCAATGAGACATCTAATGCTGCGCAGGAGTGAAATGGGCTGCACTGGACGTTATCCACTGTTTAAGCCTGTGGACTGCAGGTTACAATCACGGGGCCGCTGTGGCTCGGGGAGGAGGGCAGCGCACCGTGCCAGGGAGAAGCGAGGGGTCACTGCGGGAGCAGAAGCCGAAGTGGTGGAAGCGCTGGGGCCCTGGCCCCCGAGGTGCCGGACCTTCAGCGAGAACACTCCCTGGCGGATCTCGGCGCTCCTGCGAGCGGCGGGGCAGCGGGCCCGTGGGCCCTTAGGCCGCGCGGCCCGCCCGGCCCCGCGGGAGCTGCGGCCCGGCCGCGTCCTCCGGGCGGCTGAAGGCAGCGATCAGGGCGGCGGAGGCCGCGCGGAGCATGGCACGGGAGGGAGGCAAGGAGCCGTGAGACGGAGAATTTCCTCCGCTCCCCGTCCGGGCGGGCAATGCCGGAGGGACCCGCCGCAGGGCGGGGGGCCCAGCACAGGCACCCCGTCCCTTCCCTCCCCCGGGCCGGCGGCGGGGCCCCCGGCAGCGCCCGTGCGCCTTTAAGGGGCGGCGGGCGGGCGGGCTGGCAGCGGCATTGTTCCCTGACGTCACCGCAGCCTGTGCGGCGGCGGCGGCGGCGGCTGCTCTCAAACTTGCCTTTGTTATTCGGCGCTCCCCGGCTGACACCGCGGCCGCTCGCAAAACGCGGAGCCGGAGCGCGCCGGAGCGGCGGGACGCGCCGCCGCTGCCGGGCCGGGCGGCCGCCGCTCCGTCTCCGCGCTGGGAGCGGCCGCGGGCGCAGCGCCCGCAGGGACCCCCGCGCCCCGAGGCACACGGGGAAGGGCGGGCAGAGGGGTCTTTTCACCGGGGAAGCCACGGAGGCGTGAATGAGCGGGGCGGGGGCCGCAGCCCCGCGCAGGTCAGCGCGGCGGACGGCGGACGGGGGCAGCCCCGCGGGGGCACCGGCGGCGGTAGCGCTCCGTTCCGCCTGCACGCAGCTGGAAAAAATAAGAAAAAATTAGACAATCTTCCCCTTCCCCGAGCGATCCGACATCCCTTTACAGTCCCGGTCGTTCTCCTCCTCCAACAACAAGACGAATGTGACCAGCGAGAAGCTACACAGTGCTGTTTAAATTGCTTATCTTAATTGCATAATCTAACAAGCCCCGTTGGAGCAGGGATGAATATATTAGGCTTATTAACAACTCATCATAAAATATTGATTGTCCTGGAAGTGTTTTATCAAGGGGAAGAGAAGTCGAGGGAGATGTTTTTTAGCAGATTGGGGCTCGTCAGACAAGGACGGTTTCTTCTTATTTTCTCCCTGGAAATCGGGCTGGATTTCCTAAGGAGCACAGGGGAAGAAAAACAGCAGAAAAACACGCCCTATTGTTAGCGCCGGGGGCCGCGCTCCGGGCGGCGGGGGGGCCCCGGCCCCTGACCGCCCCCCCGTGCCGGGGCCGCCTCCTGGGCCCGCCCCGCCGGGCACCGCCGCCCGCCCCGCTTCCCCGGCTGAGCGGGGACCCCCGGGAGAACCCCGCTCCTACCTGGGTGGCGGGAGCTCCGGGCTCCGAAAATAACAGCCGCCCCGAGGGTGGGGGTGGTGGCAATAAATGGAGGGGGGTGGGGGGCTAAAGTGCAATAACGGAGCCAGCAGGATGTCTCGGCGTTCCCCTGTAATCCCCCTGCCCGCCCGGTAGTTCCTTCCATGCCCGTAAAAATTCTCTCGTGAAGACGACAGAGACGGAGACACCTCATGCTTGAGAGTGTGCTGTGTCCAGGGTGGTTTTCCCCTATTTAATAATACAAAAACACCGAAGGGAGTATACATATTCTCCAGCTTTCAGTTTCCAGAGTGGAAGGGTTTCCGAGTGCTTGGTATTCAGGAGGACTAAATCGAGAATCCCCGCCTTAAAAGACACTGTAAGACAATATTTGTATTTTAACTCGTATCTAAGATTTTTAACTTGGTGTGATTTGGGGGGGTGTGTGTTTTGCGGGGGGAGAGGGGAAGGGAGAGGGCGAAGGGAAGAACATCCCTGTAGGAGGCAGCTCCCTTTCAGATAGGAATCTGGGACAGATTTTGCCAGCAGCCACAAAGCATGGCCCTTTGGTAATAGAATAGCCAATGTAATTTGACACTTCAACTTGCTGTGCTCTCTGCTAGTTGATTCACTTACTCACCCACTAACATTGAGCTCCTTTTCACTGTCTGTGGGCAAGGGGGAAAAAAAGGGGGGGGGGAAGGAAGAAAAAAGAAAGCAAGGGGGAGAAGGAAGAAAGGAGGGGAATAAACAAAATTATATATTTAAAAATACCCGAGTAGAGCTGCAAATCAGTTGGGAAAGAGGATTTTGCCTGCCTTCTTCCTTATTATTTTGCTGCTGCAAGGCTGCTTTGCAATCCGTAGGTAAGTTTCGCGTCTATTTGCGCTCCCTGCTCGCACCTCCCCGTTCGCGGCCGGGCAGGGGTTGCGTCTCGGCGGAGCAGAAACAATGGAGCGGCCACGCTGGGGAAAAAGGTGTACAGGGAGGAAAAAAAAAAAAAAGAAAACAACAACATATTTATTCTGCAAGGGGAGAAAATGTGTGGAGACTTCTTAAAGGGGCAGACTGTCCCCGGCGAGGGCGCGGGGCGCGGGCGAGCGAGCAGCCGCGGAGCCGGGCCCGGGCGGGGAAGCGGCTCCAGCCGGGCAATGCCCTTCCCGGGCCGGCCGCGGGGTCGCGGAGGGACCCGGCCCGGGGCGAACTTGGAGCAGCCGCGGCGGGAGGCGGGCGGGCGTCGGAGCCGCCGCAAGCACAAAGGGGGCTGCGGGGACCGGGGCGGCGGCTGCCCCCGGCCGGGGCGAGCTCCGCCGGGGCGGGCAGGAGCCCCGCAGCGGGGCCGGGGCTGCGGCTCGGGGCGTGCGTGCCCGGCCGCCCGTGCGGGGCTCGGCAGACGCGTGGGGAAGCCTGCGCCTGTTCTCGGGGCTCCGGGAAGCTTGCCTGGGTGTACATTCCTTGCGTCTGGGTTTTGAGAGCCAGTTGGGACCTGGGCCTCTCTCGCCGGGCAGGAGGAAGGAGCAGCCCCCCTCCGTCCCGCTTCCCCTCCCTCCCCCCGTGCATCTGTCCAGGAAGCCGCCGGGCGGAGGGGAGGGGGCGCGGGGGCAGAGGGCCGGGGGTGCCCTGCCCTGCCCGGCCCGACCCGGCCGGGGCTCGCCCGCCTTTGTGCGAGGGGAGCGGGGGAAGCGCTTCCAGGGGCGGCCGGCGGAGCTGCTCGCGGGGAGAGGGAGAATGGCAGCCAGTTAAAAGACACTTCAGGAATGTAAACATAAAAATAGGAGCCATCCAGCCACGCTCTTGTCCCCCCCACCCCCCCGCGGGGCTCGGGATAGCATTCTGGGCTGGCGCGGTAGCGGGGAAGGAGTACGGCAGCCTGCGACAGGGGGAGGAAGTTGTTACTATAATCGGGGTTTTAGACTGTAAACTTTGTTTTGCACGTGCAAAGTTTAATTTCGGTGCCGCCTCGGAGGCTGCGATGAGAGACGCGGGGCGGCGCCTCGGGGGTGCCCCTTGGAGCGCAGCCCCCACCGCCGCCTTTGCTAAAGGTGGAACCTGCCCGGCCGTGGCAGCGGGACCCCGCATCGCCGCTTTTGTCTGGGCTTGCCGGGGTCCCGCTCCCCAGCCCGGCAGCTGCGTGACTTGGTGCAAATTGCGGCTGTATCGTCAGTTTATCGGGACCGAAGCGAACTCAAGGCATAGCTCTGCTCTGTCGTCCGATTGTGCGCCGTGTGTATTTTTGTGCTTCAGTTAATAATCTGCAAACGGCTTAATGGCTCTGTAGTGCCAGAGGAATTGGTTTTCTCCATTTACTTCAGCAGGCCTGAGTGAAGCTGGTGTTCTGACTGCTTTTTTCAATGCATTGACACGAGAGAAGAGGATTTAACTTGGCAGCCTGAACAAATGCTCTATCAAAGGTTTCCTAAGAGACAGTAGGAGTGCTGGGGTGATGAATGACCTGGGGTAGTTTTAGGGTGCTACCTATGGAAGCTTTCTTTTAAATATGAAATGGCCATTTAGGGCTGTGAATAAAACTGCGCGCATCAGAAAGGCGACAGGCTTATAAAATTTAAAAGGGCAAAAGCCCATTAATGCTGTGGCAAAGCTTTGGCTCCCAGCTCTGGTTGAGTAGTTCCAACTGCCGTGAAGTGCCAAAGCTTTTAAGGAACCTTTAGCAACAGCTTCTCTCTGGCTGTGGAAGGGACCTTGGCCTTGCACCGTGGAAGTTTAATGGTGCAGCCTCTCCTCCCCACGCAAGGGAGGAAAGGCGAGGGCAGCAGGTGGGAGGGCAGTGGGGATAACGTAGGGGTGAAGCAAAATCTGGAGGGGAGTTTTTTTAAAAGGCTGTATGCTGGAATGTATGGCTAAAATGTCTTGCTGCTGGGAACCTGTTCAGGTTACGATACTGAGGCAGTAACATGGCACAGTGGGTAACTCAAAAACATTACTAGCACCAGCAGAAAAGTTTCACAAAGGAATGTAGCAAAGCTAAACACCTTTGGGAAACAAATCCCTCTGACGAACATAGTTTGTCGTGGATTCAGAGCTTCCACTTCCTTCTCTTGACTGGGGAAAATGTACTATGGCATCAATCTTCTCTTGGCGGGGCCTGGTGCAGGTTTGTGAATGCCAGAAGACTCGCTCTGACCTTTCTCTGTTCCAAGCTGAGGATGTTGAAACACCAGCCATCAAACAAAAGAGACATTGAAAGCAAGATCTGCAATGGAGCACGTGTGACTTTGAGGCTAGCTGAGTGCATTTGGTGGCCGTTTTCCTCAGAGTTTGGGGTGGGGAACAGGAGGAGGAAAAGGTTGCTTATTTTTACAGTGAGACTATGGAAAACCTGACTTGAAATCCCCTGAATATCCCATAGTCAAGTATTTTCTTAAAGTGTTGTTTCAAAGTGCCTTGATTTCTGCTCTTTTTACATATGTATCTGTAATTGCTACATTACGAGAGGAAGATTATTTCCCCCCATGGTTGCAAGGAGGACCACGAATTTTGCATAATCCACTGCATTAAAAAAAGAAAGAAGCTTTCAAAAAAAAAATGTCTTTAGGATTATATTTTAAAACAATGAAGCATTTCCTGGGATTGAATTGACAGATTGTGAGTTTTATCTATACAAGATAACACTACCTTGAAAAGTGGCTGATTTCAAGATTATTCTGTAAATTGTAATTTAAATTTACTTTGGGCTTTCTGAATTTAAGAAGAATGCCTTTGGGACCAGTTGATATAGGTATCTAACCTGCCAATTACATTCATGTCAACATGGACAGATGCTTTTATTTTGCATTGTTTGCATTGTTTACAGTTCACAATACCTTAAATAAACGATCATGATTAGAAACAATAATTGAGTGTGTGGCAAAGGATCAATGAAAACTTTGTTTCAGGAAAGAAGTGAGTTGCTGTGTATATGTACAGAGAATGTTTTGTGCTCTCTGGGATGAAATAAATCTGCGATCTTACTATGGTGTACAATTCTGTTTTTAGATTATTTTAAGAAACCCACAAAAGATAATGGATCAGTTTTTGCAACATCTGAATGATTTCTCCTGTACAAGAAAGGAAAGGCAAGGCTCTCTGTAGCATAGTTCCATTCATAACTTTTCTTGGGAGTTGCTTGCCCTTTGCCCCAAATCTCTTCCACTTTTATGGGCTCCAAAGGTTTTCTGTTGGGGGGGGGGAAGAAAAAAAGAAGCAAAAGCAGAGCCAAACCAGCACCCCAAACCCTCATGGATGGAAGTTACATCACTGATACTATAGTTGGAGACAATGTTGGCAGGTTTTTAGCAATTTAATGTTTGTACTAGCAGCTTGGAAAACCTGTTTTCTCTCCTGAAAAGGAAGAAAAATAGATATGGGAAAGGAAAAAGAATTGGAATTCCTTTTGCCTTCCCCAGTGTTGTTGATAGGTTTCAGAACAACAGGGATCCAGCCTTTTTCCAGTTACATAGAAGATAATGTGACTGTGAGAAATGGAGGTAGTGGCTGGCCAGGAACTCGTGGTGCCTGCTGTGCTGCTCTGACAACGTGGGTGATCAAATGCTGCAGGAGGCGTGAGCTTGGCTTGTTATGGCTTTACCTGGGAAGCCTGTTTCTCATAAATAAGTAGGACTGCAGTTAATGCCTGTGGTAGCAAATTTGACCACTATGCAATTGGCTAATTTGTTCGCTCCTAGTTAGACCAATTTTTGTGAAATTCTATCCTGTATTACAGCAAAGCAGCGAGAATACTGCCGAAGAGTTTATGTTGGTTTATGTTTGTTCCTGTCAACTGCCTGTTGTAGGACAAGCAGCACAAGCCCTCTTTATCCATTTAGGTGTGTTTTATGGGAAAACACAGTAAGCAAAACATCAATATAGAACCACCACAGACAGACCTCCTGCTCAGATATTGTATGTTTTCCTTACACTCAATTCACATCTTCACTCCAAGTGTATGCAAGCCTTCCTGCTGATGACAAGTTGAGGCTGTCAGTGGTATTAGAAATAATTTCAGCTTTAAAATGGTGTCTTTGGCTTAAAAGGTTGTTTTTTTGTATTGATTTCCTCCTCCCCTCTTCTTACTATAAAGCAGAAAATTCTTATGTAGCAGTTTTCAATTCTTCACTTCCATTGGGTTTCATGTGATCATTAACATTCAGTTTGGCTAATGTTAGAATATTTTAAAGAGAATATAGGCTGCTAGGGAAATGTCCAGGCAATGACTTGCAATGGATCTCCACAGCTAGACTGTTGGAGGCAGTAGTGTATTATGAGAGTAGGAGATGGCCTTACACTTGTTACGTGTTATTTTTGGTTCTAATAATTTAAGATACACCGAAGTCTACATTGCCTGCAAAGATGAAGTTTCCTGGCTTCAGTACAGTGCTCTGCCCTTCTCTTTATGGAGCAGGGCAAATTTCTATGGGTATTAGGTATCCAGTAAAAAAAGCAAAGTTGTTCTTAGACAGACAAAATCACTTTCAACCTAATTTCTCCTGTAAGTGTCAATAGAAATTAAGTTACTCCACAGGGAATGACTCATTCTTTAAAAGAACTTGCCCTTCTGAAGGCTCACATAGGTGATCATTCATTTTGGAATATCTGTAGTTTCCTTCAGTTGCTTGTACATTTTAGTTCTGTAGCAGAGGACAGAGGAAGTAATTTTTACTCCTGTAGTGAATGGTCTAACATCCCAGAAATCCTTTCCAATTTGTGGTGGTTGATGCATTTTAAAATAAGTTTTAGTATCTAGTGAAATATCTAAGCTTGAAAAGGGATTTCTGTCCTTTACATGGATAATTCTATAGATCAAGCTGGTTTGTATTTTGTTTAGTGTACTAATATTGGGGTAGTGACATACAACCTATCACAGTAACATTCCATTAACATAAATGTGGGAAGCATATCCCCTGGTTGGTAATCCAGGGTTTGTTTTGACTCTGCAGACCAGCTTTGACTTGATTCCCAAAGTGAAGCTGAAAGGCTCCTGGCTCAATACCAGGCAGTGGGAGGGAGGAAAAGAAATTGCTCAAAACCCCATTTATATGCACAGTGGTACAAACCTGTGCAAATTTCATAAAAGTGCGAGTTTGTATTACCTCTACTGCTCATTGTTAGTCTATATAAGAGGTTTCTTATTCATTTTATGTTTTCTTGTTTGTCCTGGCTTATGACAGTGGATGGTGAAAACCTGATTTGTAACTCATGTCCTCATGCTAAGACATCCTCCTTCAGACCTGTGAAACCTACGCCGGTGATGGTCCAGCTGCCTGATCCATAGCGAGTTGTGTTATCCTCTTCCTGTAGGGCTGTATGCCAGTCATTTGTCAGTATTGGCTGTAGGCACAGAGGGGCTGTGGTTGCTGTAAGCCTTTTTGTTTCCAGGGAAAAGCAGCACTGCTGTGGGCCTGACTTCAGAAAGGGGAACAACTCTAACATATAGATAATACATATGTGTTGTCAAAGATAGCACGAGACCGAAAGCCACAAAAGTGAAGCATCTGATAGTCACGCAAAACTAATATGGAGATGGTTGTCTTTATTTGGGTTTTCTTGAAATCTTATTTGTTCTCATGTTCTCAACTCTTTACCTGGTAACTGGTAAATTCTTCTGTTGGTTTAGTTTGGTAGTCAGCTTGGTCCAGATAGCATTAACTAGAGAATACTGACTGCTTGATCTAATGCACAAATATGGGGAAACTGCCTCATTCATGTGGCAGCTCTTTGTGCTGTGAAATACCGTTTGTCATCTTTGCTGATTAGGTAAAAACATGTTTGAGGAGTAAGAGAAAAAGCAATACCTTGACTACAAGTTTGTGCTGTCTTTGGATTCATGTAGTAGTTTTTCATTCCTTTGAGACTTCAGGGCTCCGATGACTGACTGGCTGGCACAGTGAACGGTATCTGTCTTAGAGATTTCTAGATAGTCTCATAACTAATCAGAAAGCATTATTTATTGGGACTGCAGTGACATAGATATATGACAGAATAGTAGGGGCTTCAATTGGCCATTTAGTAGCAAAAACAGTTCCCTTGATGTGTATCTGCTTGTTTCTTGGCTACATTCCTGATTCCCTCTGAGAACAGTGGAGTCTTTCAGGCTGCTCTGAAATACACACCTCTGTATCTCCATCCGTAAATTCTGCCGTGCAGGTTTCTCTTCTTGTGTTTTTGAACACCCATTCTGAAAACAGATGAGCTGATCTAATACTGGTTTATTGTGTAAATAAGGGCACTGTGGGGTGAGGGAGAAATGCAGGAAAACGCTGAAGCTGACACTGCGGGGCAGTTGGTGCTTGAAAAGGTTTGAGATGGGACTTGAGAAGGTTTCCAGGGACTTCCCTGGAAATTGTCTGCTCTCATACTGACAAAGGGGGTTTCGGAGTCTGCCTCACCAAAAGCAGAAATCATTGTAAGCTTGTAAGGTGTTTTTATGACTTTGATTTTGTGTGAAACTCAGACCCTTCCCCTGTGCTCTTCTCTTGGACATGACTGTTGTCCAGCCCAGCAGCCTGCTGGATGGGCATTCTCCAGCTCAAAGGTTACCATCTGCTCTTGGTTATTTTAGAGGTGTGAGAGTGTGATGCGTGAGGGGAAAAAATCCACCACAAGAGAGTTGACTCACAGGGAGGAGAGGCTTGAGCCCTGAGTTGCAAGACCTCCACCCCTCCATCTACAGCCACTTTCTTGAGGAAATGAGAGAAACTCATCAGCTGCTGTCCCGCTGTGTCTGTGCCCAGTTTGAACAGCACTTCTGTTTGTGCAGCCCGAAGGCGGGATGCCTCCATAGATAGTGTGAAAATAAGAAATACCTTACGTATCACTGCTTTCACATAAGCCTTGGTTTTCCTTAGTACTGCACGTCTCTAAGATCTTGACTATTGTAAATGACCAAAAGAAGCCTTATAAACATGAAAATTTTCTTAGAGAATGCATTTACTTAAAATACATTTCAAAATACAAGTTCCTGCAGCTAAACTATTTTGACAATAAGCACTGTTACACTTCAGTTTAAAACTATTTTATATTTCTAGGTGAATCAAAAAGCCATTTGATTATCTTCCCTGTCCTGCCAAGGTATGCCAAGCCTACCTCCAGCTAAAAAAAAGGGGCAAGAAAATGCTTTAAAAAGCACTTTTAGAGACTTAGTTGACACTGACTTCTTGGAAAAGTAGTTTGTTTATACATCTACCCATAGATGAAAGAGAGAAGAGTTTATTATCCTGCAGGTTTGCAGGGGAAAAGAAGAATGATATGGTTGTCAGGCAGTCTACCCAGTGTCTTAGTGTCCTTGTAAGTTTTGTGTTTGTTTAATGCTTATAACTCTTTTCCCAGCAGTGGGATCACAGAAGTTAACTTTGTTGCAGCTGTTATACAGCTTATACTTAGGTCTCCCTTATAACAACCCAAGGCTTTCCGCAAGCCTTTTCAAGTAAAGCTTCTCTTCTCCACTTAGCACAGGTTAATTCACTTTATATTTAATTAAACTTCCTTTTTTTTTAACTGGAATTCTTGTTCTAAAGGATGTCAGGCCAGTGAACTGTCATCCTGTACATGCTTTTGTGATCTGACTATCTGCACACTCAGCTCACTGTGCTTTAGGTGCTTTACAAAACCACAAAACCTTACCTTTCTGTTTCACAGAAAACCAAGGTGCTGAGTTGCAGTGGGCACTTATGTGCAGATGTGGATGGTAGTTCTGTGACTGAAAAGGTGAATTCAGTGTGTGTTGCGCGGTCAAGGCTGTTTCTCTACAAGCTAGTGTTCAAATTGATCCCATTCACAAGTCCCTTTTTGATTCTGAGATACCCACTCTGATATGTCTCACCTGGTGAGACTTAATGCAGCTACCAGTCCTGCTTTTAGATGTTTCTTATGGGAACTGTACTTGAGTCTTTGCTTGTTTTCTCAAGTGTGAGATTTCTCCAAAAATCTACATCACTGTTTTAAAAAGTATTGGGTTGCAGTCCAGCTGGAGTTAGATACCATTAGAGATGGGCGCCTACTAGCTTTCCAAATGAATGCGTAGCTTTGGCTTTTGGCACTGTAATACTCTGACATCTCTCACATTAAAATCATAACAGTATTATGTAAGGAGAAGTTATTTTGGGTCACTAGCAGAGCCCTCTCAGGCTTCGTTAAATCAGCCTTGCAAGTTAAAACACTCAGGCTCCCATCTTCTTCCTGCAGCTTTTTGGCAGCATGAGCGTGTGGGTGCTGTGTCCTTTCTCAGTCGTTTGCCCTCTGCTCTGCTCAGGCTGCGTGGCTGGCTCTGCCCCTGCTCCTGCCCTTGCAGAGGAAGGGCACGCTCAGCACTGCTCAGCCCTGGCTGTCACTCCCCAGTCCCAGCTGCTTTGAGGTGGTGCTGGAAGGAAGGAGGAACCGGGGGGCTCTGTGTTCCTGCTGCTCCAGGCTCTGTGGCAGCAGGCAGACAGGAGTTGCGTGGGAAGCTGGATACCCGGGAGGGCTTCAAACTGCACTAAACAAAGTCCCCCCTCTGCAGCGGGCACTTGCTTGTTTATGTGTAACTCAGGAGTCAGTTTCATTTGGCCTTGTGTTATTATTTAGCAGAGGACAAGTAAAACACCGGCTGTTGGTGACCAGCAAGAGACAGAGTACAGAAACAATCCGGGGGAACCTTTGCAGTGTTTGTTGATAACAAATACTTGAACCTGGTGTTTAGCAAAGGTACAGTTTAGATATGAAAGATGCCATACTTGGACTTGTGTGAGCATTATCAATGCTTCCTTTGGAGACCAGTCCTTGCGTTCTGAGTGATCCTTGGGTATGAGTTATGCATAAAGGGATGGCCATTTGGAGATGGCTTATGCTTTAGAAGGAATCAGCAACAGGACAGAAGATAAATATTTTAAAACATCCACATGAAATTGCTGTGCC